TTATTTGTAAATCTTGTGTTGTTGATAATTTTTGCTCAAAGATCCAGTCTATCTATTATAGTTTAACAGATGTTAGGTAAAACCACTAAAATTGGTCCAAGGATATCATGGAGCCGACTGACGATTTCGCCCATTTTCTCATGCGTAGATCCTGTCTTGCTGGTCATTATAATCATCTGTATGAATGTTCCCTTTTTCTAGTAAAGTTGTCACCAAAAACGCAAAAGTGGGTAAACGTCGTCAATGATTAGACAATAACTCCTATAAGGAGTCGACTGATGATTTCGGTGGGGTTTATTTATTTGTAGATCTTGTCTGGCCGATTATATGATGTGTATAGTTTCTCACTATTTATCATTGCGGAAATGTACATCTAATGAAAGATTTGTGATGTTTCTCACTATTTATCATTGAGTAAAATCTTTATTGATGGCAAGTACTCCTATTAGGAATCGAATGGCAATAACGGTTAATGTGACTTATTTGTAGATCTTATTATATATATTCTGATCGATTTTGCTACTTACAGTTTCTCTATATATACTATCGTTTTCCCCAAAAAGCGCCAAAAATGGGTAAATACGTCATAGGACAATAACTTCCATATACGTCAAAGGGTAATAACTTTCATAAGTGGTAGACTGATTAATGCAGCCAAAATAAACAAGGGAAAACATCAGTACTGCTTTTTATGTGTTTACGAAACAGATTAAATTTGGGGTTTTTATATAACAGTAGGCCTATATTGCAAGCAACTCCAATGATCAATGCATTGAAGACCTGTTGGTGACCTTCTGCTGTTGTCTGTTCTATGGTCGGGTTGTTGTCTCTTTGACACATTCCCCATTTCCATTCTCAATTTTATTTGCAAATTTGTTATTGATTAACAGAATAAAGTCACAAAAGAATGCAATTAAAACAAAGGAGTAGGCCCGGTAAGACCACTTTTTGGCCCCAAAATATTGCATTTCGAAAATTTGTTAAAAATCTAAACTTTAAGCTATTTATTGGAAAGAAGAATACTTTTGTTACATAAATATAGGCTGTTTTTGACATTGCACTGCACATACATCAGTTACTAGCATCATTAATTCATGCAAAATGACTGAAATCTTCACAATTTTAGCATTTGTGATAATTTCAAACGGTTTTTGTCTAAAATGGAAGTGGCGCACTTGTGTTCAGTCTTAATATTTAAATATATGTTGTATTTAATGATGATACATAACATATATATTATAAAGGTTGAGACTGAACACGAATGCGGCCACTACCATTTTAGACAAAAACCATCTGAGAAGTGACGTTTTGTAGCATATTTGATAGATTTTTCATATTCAATATTGAATTTAGGCGTCTTTAATGACCGGCCAAATCAGTTCAAACCTTTTACAAAAACTAATTGAATCGACCGAAGAAGACACTTAAGTATTTAAAAAAATGTCACAAATCTTTCATTAGATGTACTTCAAATTTTAGGCAAAAATAAGCCCTTACCGGACCTTCTCATTGCAAAACTTTAACCGTAATATTTAAAAGATAATCTACAAACATTGAACAACGGAATCTGGTTAGCTTGACACTACTTAGGATACATGATATAGATATAGGAAGATGTGGTATGAGTGCCAATGAGACAACTCTCCATCCAAGTTACAATTTATAAAAGTAAACCATTATAGGTCAAGGTACGGCCTTCAACACGGAGCATTGGCTCACACCGAACAGCAAGCTATACAGGACCCCAAAATGTTACTAGTGTAAAAACCATTCAAACGGAAAAACCAACGGTCTAATCTATATAAAAACGAGAAACGAGAAACACGTATTAACTACATAAATATGCATGTATATATCGCGACCTTTTTAAATTAACACTCGATAATGATGATGGATGGCTTTTAACGTCCAGCGGCGATTTAAATGAATATTAAGAACGAGAACATGTTAAAGGAGAATTGGCTGTCAAATTCATGTTCACCTTTTTGACTCAAATTCTAATATTTGATTCATAACATACTAAAATCTATATCCAAATTACAATAAGTCTGATATAAACAATTACCAATGCGTGGAACCGATAATATCAACATTTCGTGTGTATTTTAGTCAAGACGCCATCTAATTAACCATCGAGATGACCCCCGAAGACTGCCGACGGTCACATAACACGATATAAACATAAACATATATATAAATAGATTGCAACAACGTGCAATTTGATTTTTCTAGGTCTGTTTAATTTCATGTTAGAGGTTACAAAAATAAGTTAATCATCGTTTTTACCTGTATAAGAATGATTATTTGTGGATCGAATCCGTCAACGAAATAGTTCATCTTGGTTTCACTTTCAATGTTGACATTCTTTTCCTTTTAATGGCTGAACACGCCTAAAACACGTAACCTATCTCTAGGTAAGGGGTTAAATTGAAGATCATATGAATACGGCTTCAATGAGGTCGAATTATTTACTTGCAAGTGAATAATTCATCAGCGATGTTTATTAGCTTATTTTGACAAAATTGAAATAAACTGCCTGCTAAAAGCGAATCATTATTTCACTATTTCACTTTCATTAATAATTGAACAAAAAAAAAACCATTTTATTTTTTTTATATCTCATAGCTAATGCCCTTTTAATACAATATCAATATTAACCCTGCTTTGAACCAGGTCGACACACTAAGCCAGACTTTTAAACGTCCGTAGGAAGACATGACACCCTACCCGGACACATTATACTGACTCCAAGTAGACCGTTTGCTAGAACTTATATAAAAAGACAGTGAATTCTTTTTTCTAGATCATGATTAAAAAAATTTCACACATATTTATTGATTTAAAATAGGTCGAAGCTTTAATGTAAAATGTCAATTATGCCATTCTTTTTTATTTTGGTAATGATAAGAAAAAAATTCTTCTTGGAGACATTAAAGTTAAGTTCACAGAAGCACTCAAAAACAAAATCGAACAAAGCGTCGTCATAAAATTATGTTACAAAAAGGAAATGTCTCTACCAAGTCAGGAATATGACAGTTGTTTGCCATTCGTTAGATGTGTTTGAGCTTTAGATTTTGCCATTTGATAAGGGACTTTCCGTTTTGAATTTTCCTTGGATTTTGGTATTTTTTGTTATTTTACTTTTTGAGAAAAATGTGATTTCTATCTATTATACAACTGTTTAATTTGCGCATATTGTTATACAAATGTAATAAGGATTTCTATTCATTCAATTGACTTCGCATAATCATTTCTGGATACATATTCGGAAGGTTTAAAACGAAATCTTTATTATTTAAAGTTTTTTTGTCTCTCCTTTATTAGACAGTGCAATGGTACCTTTTACACCGTGCGAGATAAACAAAAACCTGATTTAAATAATAGTCACTTTTGTTCTATGTGCTTAAGATCTGGTGGAATACCATAAAACTAAGATTAAGACTTATTAATGCAAAGTTGACCTTGTACGAAATTGTCTGTTGTTTTAAGCCCTTTTCGTAATGATGCTCTTACAAACCTTTGTATTTGTCTTGCCGAAAAGTTAAGTTGTAAAGATATTCATGTCAGAAAAAAATAAGGAACTGCGATTGTTTTTGGAGATCTGTTACATATTTTATCATTCAACTTTTGTACAAAACTATAATTGTTTCATATTATTGTTGCATGGCTTTATATATAAACGTTAAAACAAAAATCTGTTTAGGACAGTAAACTTGTGTCTGACCTTATTTGTTATGCATAATAGAAAATAATATATATTTATATAAATGAAATAAGAAAACACGAAAGGTATGCATTTTTGCTACAGAAAACTTTTAGACTTCGTTAATACAGTGAACTTAAATCAATTCTCTCCATTGCAAACTTTGTCTTGGGATAGTTATTTCATTGATGGATTTATGCCAATAATGTCAAAAAAATATATTTTCTGGCGCAATACTTTTATGAATGTCAAATGCTTTTCAAACATACAAAGGATGTTGAAGGCCGTACTTTGACCTATAATGTTAACTTTTAATACATTGTGACTTAGATGGAGAGTGGTCTCATTGGCACTGAAACCACATCTTCTTATTTATATATAACAGTCAAGCCAGCTATAGAGGCACCTCTGTTAAAAGAATACCTATCTTGTCAGGTGAACCTCATCTTGTTCCATTGTAAATTTTACATTTTGAACTTTAATTCAAAAGGTCACCTCTCTTATAAGGCCACTATTTCCTAGTCCCAAATGTGACCGTTATATATTGGCTTGACTGTACATAAAAACTAGATTCTAGAATTTAAAGGGAATTAATGATATAACCGAGACAAACGTAAACGGCAATGAAATAGAGACACAAATAATTCTAAACCAACATAATGGTAATGACTTAAAAGGAACGAAAAGGTTTTCAACTTTACCAACTCCACGTGCTATAGAAGAAACCAGTTTTACAAGTTTGCAACACGGCTTAGGCACGCATACAACATCAGCGTGATAAATGCGTTTTAGGCTAACTATATCTTTTATGGACCTAACATACTCCCATATCTCTACATAACTAATGACATGTAATGCGAAACTTTTAATATCTTCAAATAAAAATGAAAGCATTGATTAAAATAGTCATGTTTTTCTCTATTACATAATTAACTTTCTAAAAAAGATTACCAATGTAGTTATAATGGAAAAGTTTTTAACGTGTAACGATACCTTCCTAGAAAGGGAACGTTAGTACCATAGAAATGTTTTGAATCAATGCAATCCAGTCATACTGTTTAATTTCCGGTATTTAATTTCCAGACGATAATTATCTACTGCTCCTATGGTATTACGGGAAGAAAGAATGACTAGTTTTGTTCTTCACAATAATACTATTTTGCAACGTTGTATTTGCGCGCCATCATCTGTATCAAAATATTGCATTTCTTTATCTCTTAGCTTATACAGAAGTAAACATTCTGGTATTGATTTAGCAGGAAAAACCCGATGAACAATCAATAAACTTCTCGTAGTCGACATTTTGATTATCTCCCTTATTTTGTGCTTCACAGACTGACGAATCTAGCTACTTACTTCACTACAAGTATATTTTGATTCCGAACGGATTAACCAAAATGAATTGGGGTGATGCTCAAACGTCAAATCTTGTTAAAATATTGTAATTAAATGTGATTCTAGCATCAGAGGTCTTGTTCAAGAAGAAAGTGTTACTTGCAAATTCAGTCTGGCATTGGTTGCTTTTACAATTGCACAGGTATAATAATGGAGTGCAGTGATGTTACCTGATGTTAAGTAATTATATATTAAACTTGATAATGTTACGTAAACCAGATGCACGTTAGATTTCAATATAAACAAGTAGATCTTTCAAACTTGCACGCCATGGATCAAGCTGATAGTGAAGAACGTTAAGCGTTTTCATTTTTTTATACGTTTTAAAACAGTTAACGATTAATTTATTGGAATAAGTGTTGTTTATAGAACAAGTGTAAAAAATGGCCTGGATTATTGACTTGAGGAAAAGGAGAGCTTTCTGAGATGTAAGGGAATGGACGTACCATCGATCCAAGGTAAATCAGTAATCAATATAACCTATTGTTCCACATTGATTAGGTTTTGTGTATTTTCTGGTCTATGTCATTTACTGTACGCTAGAGTTCAAGTTATCACAAAAATATTGGCTTTTTGTTTATATCGGAAAAAGGAGGTACACATGTTTAAGAAAAGTGTGAGAACATAAAGGGTAAATGATACTAATTATTGATTAGCCTAATGCATTATTGTATGTTTACTGTACATGTCATTAAACAAAAATGTTTAAGTACAGCCACTACAACCATTAATGGAATATATTTGTAAGTCTTTGAATTATTGGAAAAACAATACTAGATCAGTGTGCAGCGTGGTTTTATTTTCTTTATGTTATATTGCCAATGACTTCAGTTGTGTATATCTGTTTGCCTTTCAAGCAAGTATATGCTCGTTTTTGTTGGTCCGTACACGTGTCTCGTTGTTTATGATGTGCCTCGTTTTTGTATTGGTCTCGCAATTTCGATTTTAAGCCCCTACACTATAGATGGTTTGGTAGCTTCTACCTGTTATTTAGAACTGTTCTCCAACAACCCATGTGCTTCTGTTGGTTAAACTTTGACCTATCAAAACCAAACTAGGCTTTCATTGAAACTTACTTGCTCTAAATACTATATACTGGTCTTTTGTATATAAATCTTGTGTGATAAACTGTTGACCGATAAACGCATGAATTTTTAATTATACGCATGCCACTATTTTTAAATCACAATAGAAGCATTGAAATCTGAAATGTATATATGGTTAATAAATTCATAACAATTATCGAGCGATGGTAGGCCATTCAAATGAAATAGATGATATTGGAAATCTTGTACAGTTGAGGATGACGACCTCGTGTCTGTTTATCAATAAGTTAAATCGTTTTCTGATTATGAACTGTATATTGCAATAAAAAGAATGTCTTCGGTCTTTAATTCAAATTGCTTCAGAAAAAAAGCTTTGAAGTTTTATTATCTTTTATTTCAATGGCATAGAGTTTCCTTTAGGCTCTTTTGCGATTTTTTTCAACGTATTATCAAGTTTCACAAGATGTCAACAGTAATTATACTCCCAAGTACACATATGTATGTATACCTTCTACTTCGATGGGAAACCTATTTATTTGTTTTTATTTCTTTCCGATGTACGAATGTGTAAGATAAAAATGAAATCTGTAACCTGCACTGTTTTGACTGTGACTCAACTCATCAACGCATCTTTATTGTACCATCTTAAACTGTCGTAACCGATATATATAACGGTAACCCCAAGTGTTGACTAGGGTATAGAATAAAACGTGATCCCTTTACTTCTCCCGTCCGGCATTAAAACCTTTGCAAAAATAGGGCGTTTGTTTGGCGGTGCGGGATGTATAAATACGCAGCCACGTCCTGTCGGACTGATACGTTACATTCCGATGTCCCATGTAAAAAAAAGGGGGGGGGTTGTACCATGCTCTCTTGGACCCTTAAAATAAATCTCTTATGGGTCCATATGTCAAATATTAAAAGTCCCATTTTACCTTACCAACATACCCTCATATCCGGTTAAAGGCCCTTCATCCCTGGTATTGATTGTCAATTTATAATCGTCCTGAATCTGCATGAAATATTTGCCACTGGCCGTTAAGCAAACACAAATCAGTTCTATAAAACGGGTCTTGGTGACTTGGTGAACTACTAAAAAAGTAATCAATTGAAATTAGGTGAAACAAATCTTCAAGTTTTTGATTAAAAAAATATTTGGTATACGTCAATGAGTAACCCAACAACACAAGTTTACTAAAATAAAAATTCAGCAGTCACAATACGAAATTTAACAAACAATAACAGTTATGACAACCCAAAATCTGTCCGATTCTACACTTCAAGTTGTTGATGAACTCAGATGACACCAACAAAACACGCAAAATGAAAGAAGAAAAGGTAAAACCGAAAAAGGGAAAAGAAAAGTAAAAGAAAATAAAAAAGGAACAAAAAAGGACAAGAAAGTAAAAGAAAACAAAACTTCCACCACAACAACCGAAGAGATTCTTGATTTGGAGATAGACACGTAAAAATCTGACTGTTTGAAACACGGTGCTTTGCTTTTGCGCCAATTGGAATTTCATTTGTGCCAAAAATATATTTCATTTGCACCACAAACCATATTTTATTTGCGCCAAAATAATACATTTCATTTGTGCCAATAATACAGGTAAATAGTATAAATAATAGGCCTATATTGAAAAGATACGTTTGATAATAATGGTACAATATAGATTTTATAGCATAATACTAGAATAACATATTCATCATAAATCACATTCATCATAAATCACATTCATCATAAATCATATTCATCATAAATCACATTCATCATAAATCACATTCATCATAAATCACATTCATCAGTACACCAAAATGAAAACATTAAACACTGGTTAGTATTTTTAAAAGCTGAAATTGTACTGTCTGCTGGCCTAAACAATGTTTGACTGTATCATTCAATTTCTTTATATTGGTTTTGCTGTCCACATCTGTTGTGATTCTGGCGTTGAAACTTGTTGGTTACATCTATACGATTTGTCTCCGTTTTCAGAAACTATTGCGAGGTTTTTATTAATGCGAAAAACGCGACTGGATGAGTATCGCAATAATAAGAACTCGCATTCTGAAATATGATACATATATCTAATTTCAAATTTTCCTGAAATCGCAATAATAAATCTCGCATTTTAGTCCATTCCTCAAAAATCGCAATAATAAATGCACGCATTAATTTCTGAATTTACAGTATTAGATATTCTTAATGTGAGGTCTTAAAAAATACAGATGTATTTTCTTCTCTATTTGTCTCCGAATGGATTATGTCTATTGTGTAACCTCGAACATGTGAACACTATACAATTTTATACCTTTGAGACTCTCAAGTTCGTATGAGAAATGAGTATAAACTCATTCACTGATCCAATGGGGGTAGCTCTATATTATATTAAAACGTTTCCCTTATTTTTACCTGCAAAAGTGAATTGATGCTATAGCAATATTTATTTTTGGTGCAAATAGAATATAACCCTGTGGCGCAAATGAAATACTGCATTTTCAAAAATTGGCGCAAATGCAATGCGCCCGTAAAACAGCACCAGCACGGTCATGAAGACCGACTGTAAATGATTTTATAATTGAAAATATTAGTTTCAAAGAAAACTTAGAAGTCAAGGCAAATACGTGTTTTTTCGAACCAATTGAGAAATGTATACACCATAAAAGTTAACCAACAAAACATCACCATCGAGGAAAGTAAAATTCACAACAGGAACAAAAATGTTGCCCGGTTTGTAATACATTTTGGAAGGAAGATAACCGCGAGAAATTTAATGCATTGATCCCCGATTAGATTTTAGAGTTTATTCTTTTGTCATTGAACATTTTCAATTTTGAATATATTGTTCTTCGAGCCACAGATATAGTTCTTTTCTACGGTAATGAATGTTTGAACTTTAATGACCCTTACCTATCATGGCCTTTCAACACCTTCACCGAACATCGTATTCAAATTGATCACATATTACGAGTTATTGCGAAGAAAGTAATTTATTTCTCTTCTTGTTTGCATGGCTTATATTAACGGATCTTTAAAAGTACAGCAAGATGCTAGGTTAGAACATCAAAATGTCATTTAATAATTCAAATAAACTCAGTTTTACAGTCATGACAGTATTTATATCTTGATTAAAATAGCATATATATTCGTGTTAAAGTTGACTAGCTATGATTTGATGGGTCCGTCTCTGACATTAGTTATTTCGAGACATAACAGTTATATGAAAAGTACAACATTTACATAAGAGATAAGAAATGAGGTCGCAGAATATATATTAGGATTTATGTTACTTTGGTACTGAAACAGTGCCATTACGTAATTGACTTATATTGGCGTTATTTGAAATGATATTTTATCTTCTACGATGGCAGTAGGGTTTTTTTATATGTTTTCGTCAAGACGTCGTCAAAACAAAAGAATTTAGATGAACTGAAGAAATAAAACAATATCAGAACTTAAAGATAGTATACCGTAATGTACTTATGAACATGATGCTACAAACACAAATTGGAGTTTCATTATTTTGACGCTAGCATTTCCGTTTTTTATATTGAAAAATAGTTTAATGGGTAATATACAGAAATAAAACAATATATCCAAATATCAAATAAACATAAATAGAAGATATTTTTCTCTGATTGATATTTTATTGTTCCTACGATACCAGATTATTATTTGCCTTTTATCATCGACCAATGCCTTCGTTATCTATGGGTCACTCATCGTTGAACTATTTACAATTATTGGATCATATTTAATAAAGGTTGCCAAGTGCAATTATTTTTAACAATATTGTAGACTATATTTAGAAAGTTTATTTTATATTTCTCAGAGGATCATACCAGATAATATGTATAGATTTTGTAAACTGACCTGGCACTTTAGTTTCTTGTGAGCCATTGTCATCACTTGGCACTCGTCGTCGTTAATATAGCTCAACAATCTTCTTCTCTGAAAGTACTGGGCCAATTTACAATTGTGGTCGTCGTTAATATAGCTCAACAATCTTCTTCTCTGAAAGCACTGGGCAAATCTACAACAAATTTGATCACAATAATTCTTATATAGGATGTCGTCTTATTTAAAGTTCTGTCGGTTATGCCCGCACAAAAACATGACTTATCATAGGAGCTTAATGCAAGAAATCTTCTAATATCTTGAAAACCGTTACAGACAACAGATAATCCAGCATTTAAATCAAAGTTGTCAGACAATAAATAAGTCCAAAAATAAAGATATTTTACCACATGCAGCTTTTTTTTTTTTTTTTTGCCTTATCTTGAAAATTGGAATTTGTAGACAGAAACTGTGAACAGCTAAACAAGATCTACAAGTAAGTTAATATGATTAAAATCATTGATCGACTCCTGATTACTAAGACTTCTTAAATCATGATTTTTACCTATTTTGTGTT